CCGGCCCGTATAGAGACATACATATCATGCATAGCAACTACCTTTCTATTTATAGCATATATAACACATATCACGTCCGACCTTCCGGTCACACAGTCAAACCCTTCCGGGTACAGTATAGTGAGAAGACTCACCTCGTGGATACTGAAAGCTAGCAACTCCTGAAATCCCTCGTACTCGATCCGCCGAGCTACAGACTCCCTGTAATATCGTACGTCCCTTATTAACACTTTTATCTTTCAAGACAACTGACCCTAAGAAATCACACCTAGGTCAACTCTGGTCAACAGTCCACGGTCAACTCGACCGGACTCGGCGAGTACCCTGGCGACTCGGCGAGTCTAGTCATCCTCCAGTCCTCTAAAGTTTCCCTTCTACTCGTCGAGTATCCTCCTTGACCCGACGAGTTACTCCTGGAAGAATCGCGGGGCCACCCCGACTCCACTCGCCGAGTCTGAGGAACAACTCGGCGAGTCCCAGTTATTCTTCAAGCTACTCGCCGAGTCTGCTCATCTGACTCGGCGAGTCCATGCCATGCAGTCGCTCAAACTGCTTCCTAAGGTCATAACTGCTCCGACCATTCATAGGTCTGGTCTTCCTCGACTGGTCCTTTACATAAGGTCTTCATTTAGGTGCTCATGCTACACCCCAAGACTTATGGTTTACATGTTGACCTAAGGCATAAGGATTTCAATCCAAAACCTTCACCAATTCCCGAAATGCCCAGACATGGAATAATCTGGACCTCCAAAGGTCCCAACACAGGGTTACAATCGCTTGGGGGACCTGGGTAACACTCAATCTATCCACAAAAGGGTTCCATAAACCCTAATCCTCTAAATATATCAACATAGCAGAGTATACCGAATTCATACCTGGATAATGTATTCTCTGTGTCCCCATCTCAGCATGTGACTCCCTTGCTGTTCCTTTAGCCAAAACCTTCCCTTCCTTGCACAACAACTCCTTCACAATCACCCATGGCCTCTAACCTTGCTCCAGATGCACACAATCGGTTTAGGGCTCCTCTCAGACGGCTAAAAGGGAACAATGACGGCCAATGATCCCCTTTATACGTCCCAAACCTGAACGGTTAGGGTTTTCGCTAAACAGCGCAGACTCGCCGAGTCCCTATCTGGACTCGTCGAGTCCAGTCGCGAACCCGCGACCCGATCTGCGATCCTACTCGGCGAGTCTGGCTCCAACTCGCCGAGTCCCCCCTTTAAAACACCCCAAAATGTAATTTTAACAATACTTGAGATTTCGGGCTGTTATAATTCTCCCCCACTAGAATCAGACTTCGCCCTCGAAGTCTCACTCTGAAAATAGTCTCGGATGCTGCTCCCGCATCTCACGTTCCAGTTCCCCAGTTACTTCCGATCCCCTCCGAGGTTGCCACTGAACCAATACCAGAGGTACCTCCTTGCTCCTCAGAACCTTGATCTTCCGATCCCTGATGGCCACTGGCCTCTCTGTGTAACTCAGGCTCGCATCCACCTAATTGTTCTCTAGTGGAACCACTGCTGACTCATCGGCTATACACTTCTTCAATTGCGACACATGAAAAGTGTCATGGATCTATCCCAATTCCGTTGGCAGCTCCAAACGGTAGGCCACCCGTCCTACCCTCGCATATTCACGAAAAGGCCCAACATACCGGGGCCCCAACTTGCCCCTCTTCCTGAATCGAATCACTCCTTTCCAAGGAGAGGCCTTCAAGAGTACGAAGTCGCCGACCTGAAACTCATGCTCGAAACGGCGTCTGTCTGCATAACCTTTCTGTCAGCTCTAGGCGATCAATAACCCCTGTTTAACCTGTTGAATCTGCTCTGTCGACTAAAGCACGATCTCTGTACTATCCACCACTCCCTGTAACCGAGAATTACCCTATTCAATTAGGGATACATTCACTAGTCATATGGAACATTACACTCCAACGAGGTTAAACACCTCAAAACGAGTGTTTGGAGTGACCCGGGTGACATCTTCGGACGTGTATTGGCACTAGGGACTTGGGACTTGAGTTTACTCCCCAAGAGTAAACATTTTAGGGAGTTTACGGCCACAAAACACACACATACATGAGTTTATGGCCGTAAACTCTTGTGGGTGTGATTTTGAGTGTTTAATGGCTTGTTTGGACATGGGGATTGTTGGAATGGATTTCAAAAATGCCTTGGAATAGATTAAATGAGTTTATACCACTTGGAAGGGAGTTTACGGCCACAACCTTGGAGTTTATGGCCGTAAACTCACCCATGGCCAAGAAAAATTGGTTTAAGGCACAAGAAGCAATCACATGTGATTCTAAGTAATTTTCTAAGGCTTGGTATCAACTTGTGGCTTCATTTGACAACTTTATATGAGTTTATGGCCCAGACATATACCCTCTAGCCGTAAACTCTAATATGGTTAAGAAAGATTCGTTTTTGATGCTAAGAACAATCACATGTGATTCTAGGAATTTATCCAAGCCTTTGGGGTGGTTTAAGGCATCATTTGACACACTTAAAGGAGTTTACGGCCCAGGAGAGGTTCTTTGGCCGTAAACTCACTTATATAAGGTATTTGGTGTGTTTAAGGTCCCCAAAATATTTTTAGATGGTTCTAGGATTTACCACAAGGCCATTGGTTGAGTTTCAAGGCATTTGGACATGTTTAAAGGCACTAAATCCCCATTTTAGAGGAGTTTACTGCCCAAGAAGGAGCCTTGGCCGTAAACTCTTGTTTGTCCCCCAAAATTCATGTTTAATGTGTTCCAAGTCCAGATTTGCAAGTATCTAGGTCATATCTAAGTCCCAACTATAATTTGGAAGAGTAAATTTGGCTTAAAAAACCCATTTTGAGGAGTTTACGGCCCAAGCTTGATCCTTGGCTGTAAACTCATGTTCTTCGTCCCAAAACTTAATTTAAACATCAATTTGAAGGCTAAAGAGGTTAGATAACAAGTTAGGGGAGTTACCTCTTTGATTTGGAGCCTTAAATCTTTGTTTTTGGACCCTTGATTATGGATGAGGAGAGAGGTTGGATATGTTTTATGAGAAAATGGCCAAAGGCTTCAAATGGAGGCTTAAGACACCTTATATAGTGTCTAAGTTTTGGACACGGAGGAATTCTACCTGATACCGGCGTTAGGCGAGGCTTTTGGTCGTACCCGATTAGGTTGCCGTAACCCGATACGGTGAATTCTAGAAATATTCCGATCACTAAAGTGGGGTGTTAAAATGATTTCTAAATGTATTAAGACACCCATTAAGTCATTTTAGACCCGTACAAGTTAATGACTTAATTAAACAGAAGATCGGAAATCGAATTTAGAAACGACGATTGGTTGCGTGAATTGTACTACGAAAGAGTTACAAGAGATGATACGGAAATTTCGGGTTGTTACATTATTATCTCTATGTCTTTAGTTCTAAACTTTGTAAACTAAACTGTTTTTGGAAATCTGTTTTGGTGGCTATTGTCCTAACTTTGATTGTTATATTGATTACTAATTCTTTTATATATTATGCTGTTAACATGTCATTATTCTGAAAACCATTGTTTCCTCTATGTTTAGACCAGCATAAATCTTAAAGAAAGCATACTTACTTTCGGATACAGAAAGAGCTGATGACTCTTTGGGCTGCAATTTTCGAATAACAGGCTAATAAATAACTAGGTGACTTTTGAACCTAGATTGACCATTTTTCATATAAATAGACTGGAATTTCCTCCTATAATAAAAATGGAATAAAAATCATTAAAACACAATACAAAAGAATCTGAGCGATTAGCTACTCATCTTAAATGGCTTGGACATGTTTTGTTGAGCATCATTTTCTACAAATCTTTTGGTTAACTGTTCATTCACCACCTTTGAACTTATAACCTCATGTTCAATATGTGTACGATTTAAAAAGTGAATTAAATCAGCTTTATCTTCCTCTTCACCTTTCTCAACTATGGTATTGACTCAAGGCTATAAGTTGCTACAAAATATGGTAAATTAAAAGGACTTATTTGTTTTGTCAATTTGTTTACTTTCTGTTGGGCTTTAATCAGGGGTAGTTATGTCATATTTACTACATTGCTCGCATATTCACTCCTGCAGGGTTGAAAGAATATATGATGCCATTTGAGGAAGTATAGTGAAAAGAGACATCTACCTTGACATTCAATTGAAAAAAACTCTCACTTGATATGTAATAAGTTACCGCACTTACAGGAATTCTGGTATGTATTTGTTCGTTTTAATCAATTTATGTTTTTTTCACTTTCTTTTTCTTTTTACTGTAATAATGTGTTTTAAGTTTAATTGTATATTCAAAGAAAGAAGTTGGAAGCCCTGAACTGGAGAGTGGTGCCGTTAATGCTTCTCTTTACACCTTTAAACTCTTTACATGTTGTCCAATGTAAGGCCGGAATGGCAAGAATAGGCTTAATGATTTCAAATATTCTTTTATATCTCGAGATAACATCAATTGTTCAATTTACTAAACTACCCCTAATATAAACTCTATATTAAGTGTCACTTCTTCTTGTAGCTTTTCCCTACCGCTGAAGAGTCTGTATCATATTCTAACAAAAAAATGTGTTGATGGAAAATGATTTTTTTCTCCCAAGTCAAATAGTAAATCATTTTATTATTTTACGATTTTCTTAATTTCATTTATATAATGAATTTTTTCACAAACAAGACGAACAACTTTTGGTACTTTGGTTTTCTACATGGCAAGAAATAGCAACATGCTTTCATTTATGTGTATTACAACATTGTACCTTCATTTTTGTTCTTATACAAGCATCATAATTTATAAAGACACAATTATAGCATTGTACTTTCAATTTTTATCTTATTAATACCTTATACATTGAAATTACCACAGAAACTTGCTTTGTATTGGGATAAAACTGCTATAAATTTATTTATTTTAATAAACAAATGTATAAAATTGCTATAAATTTACTTTCAATTTAGCAATGCCAGATTGGCTTCTCCATATAGCTTAGAAGGAATGGATATTCATTCTACTATTTTATATGTAAGTTCTTATTGGTATTATAAACACTATAACTAAACCCCTAGAGGGCAAAATGGTAATTTTACATAATCTTTGGTCTCGTATGTTGTAGCACCTGAAGGAGGATATGTGGTTAAGTTATCTGGCACAAAAGCTAATATCAACGGATCGCTTAGCCCCTCAATCATGGTAACCATTTTGAAAATATATATAAGTGGTTGAGTTATCTCTTCTATAAGGAAATATTTTTTTTATTATATTTTATTTACTTTTTTTAGATATAAATGTGGCAGGTGTGCAATGGGAAATTACTTTAGTATGCAAAAAGACCATGAAACTGCTCTCAAGAACTTTCAACGTGCAGTGCAACTGAATTCAAGATTTGCATATGCTCACACCCTTTGTGGTCATGAGTATGATTTTTTTCTTTTTTTATTTATTTTTTATTTTTTTTATTTTTCACATTTTGAAATTTGTTTTTTTGGATAGTAAGGGTAAAATGGTCATTTAGTCTCATTCATATGCTTTATATTCATTCTAAAAAAGAAACAGACCTTACGTATACAACACATTATCCAGACAAACATCACACTATCCATTCAGCCAACGACATAACAGAAAAAAAAAATTAATGTCCTATTTGTGCAAAAGATGAAAATGCCCTTACCCTCATTATAAAAAATATCCATAAAAGCTTGTATTGTGACTCCTATCCCATGTAAAATTTACAAATGCACCCTTACATCACTTTTTTTATATGCATTTATCTTTGTTTATAGATATGTGGCATTGGAGGACTTTGAGAATGGAATAAAAAGTTACCAAAACGCCCTTCAAGTCGATGCAAGACATTATAACGCATGGTATGGCCTTGCCATGATATATCTTCGCCAAGAAAAATACGAATTCTCAGAACATCACTTTCGAAAGGCTCTCCAAATAAACCCCTGTTTTTCTGTCATAATGTCTTACTTGGGAACCTCATTGCATGCTTTGAAGGTACACGAATAATACATTCTCATGATTTTACATTCAAAATTATCATTAATTATTTGAGTTTTATAAATTGTTAGAGAAACGAAGAAGCGTTAGAGATAATGGAGAACGCGATAATAGCGGATAAGAAGAACTCTCTCCCGATGTATCAAAAAGCTAACATTCTTGTGAGCATGGAAGATTTTAATGGTGCTTTGAAAGTTCTAGAAGATCTTAAAGAATACGCACCTGGTGAAAGCAGTGTGTATGCATTAATGGGAAACATACGCCTTATGTATGACAAGGCCATGCTTCATTTAGGTCTTGCATTGGATTTAAAACCTTCTGCGACAGATGTCGCTACTATTAAGGCAACCTACTTTTCTAATATAAGTAGTACAAGCCTGACACATGTACGCATGTGTCAGGCCTAACACATGACACAACATGTGTCAGCCTGATGCATGGCACTGCACTATTATAAATTTTATTTCTCATTATTTTCCTACTCTTTTTTATAAAAATTGTAACTTTTGGTTGTGTGAGTGTAGGTATAACACCTTTCTTGTGTTATATCCAATTGGCATCTCAAGTGAAATTGCTATGATCTATAATGCATTGCCTTATATGAAGGTAACAACCCTCCATTCCTACTACCATATAATATGACCATTTTACCCTTTTCTTTTCCTTAACTTTTTGTATTAAGTAAAAAAGAGACACCTATATAGATAGCTTACCAGAATAAACTATCTGAATCCGAGTAAATGACCATTTTACCCATCTATTTAGAAATTATGCTTGTTAACAAAGAAGTAGTATCTAACTCTTGCTTGAGTAAATGGTCATTTTACCCTTCTCTTTGGTCAATGATCATTTTACCCTTCTATTTTAAAAACAATGCTTGCTAACAAGGAAACCGTATCCTACTTTTGTTAGATTAAATGACCATTTAACCCTTCTATTTAGAAACAATGCTTACTCACAAAAGAAATAGTATCTTACTCTTGTTTGAGCAAATGATCATTTTACCCTTCTATTTAGAAACAATGCTTACCAACAAAAGAAACAATATCCTACTCTCCTTTGAGTACATGACCATTTTACACTTCTATTTAATGAATGACCATTTGACCATTCTATTTGGTAAATGACCATTTTATTATTGTATTTTGCAGGAGTCTGAAAGTATTCCATAAGGATGCCCAACAAATGGAACTTGTCATTTGATTACTTCTATTTTGCTTTTGGGGTGTTAGCAACTCTATAATTCCATGTATAAGTTAGGTGGGAAATCATTCGTTCTTATATGAAGATTTATTTGGTTATTGTTGTTGTAATATAGACATTTATAGCATTTGCCTTGTCTTTTGTCTAATTGGATATTATTATATTTCATTTTAAAAATGACATTTAGTATTTCAATAATTTCATAATTATTGACCCTCTTTTTGTCTAAAAGGCTAATTCAGTGACGACTTGTTATAGTTACTAATTAGATAAACTGGTGACCACTTTCTATGGTCACTGATCGGATAAAACAGTGACGACTTTTATTGGTCACTAAGTAGATAAATAGTGACGACTTTCATTGATTAGTGACAACATTTAGTGATGAAACGGGTCGTGACAGATTTAGTGACAACTATATTTTAGTCACTGTTTAGTGACCTTATTTATACCTGGTCACTAAATTGGTTTTGTGATGCACCTATAGTGACGAAAAGTGACGACCGAATTTTGGTCACTAAATCATTTAGTGACGCCACATTCTATTGTTAGTGACCATTTCGTTTTGGTCACTAATTGGCATATTTTTTGTAGTGTATGAAAGAACACACTTGTAATTAAAATTATACTATTAATGCAATGGATGATGTTGTTGCTTGTTTACTACTTTACATTGTTGTGATACATTACATGATGTCCTCCACCCCAGAACGTTTCCGCCATTCTCGGTTTTGGGGTGTGACACATTCCTTCACTCGACTCACACATATATGTGAACAACGACATAGTCTTAATTTCCCAAAATTGAAAATTCTTATTCATCATACAATACAACTTGCATGATTCCTAGTCTCTATCTAACTGAAACTTGGGTGATCAGAATCTTTCCTTATTTGGTAAATTATGACACTACCACAAATGAAAGAATCAAATCCATTTTCCAATATTGCATATCAATGGAAACATTTAAACAACAATTTCCACAAATGTCGTTGTAAGGATACTTCAAAAAAATAAAATCAAAACTTTTTTTTTTTTTTTTAAAAAACTTGCAGAAAAATCTTATCATTAAAATGCAAATACATATGAAAACATGTTGTTGTCTATTCTTAGGCAATATATCATAACTCCTAAGTAGTAGCTAAAAATTCTGGTCATCGAACAATGCAATCGAAATCCATCTTCGCGGTCAGAATCAACATACTCTCTCTTTAGGTTTCCTTTGATTCTTCCAAAACATCAAAATGCAATTTACATTACATCATGAATTAAGAATCTCCAAAAGAGACTCCATAGAGTTAGATAATGGACTTTAACCTGAAGCAAAGTCAAACTTTTTGACTTTTACCATCCTTATGAACTTTCAGGTAAATTCGACAGCTTCGCAATCAATGCCCCTTCTCTTGGAAAAAGAAACATATGGACTCTTTGGAAATGGTATACTTGATTGTCTAGATTTAGCCTTCCTCTTTACAATTGAATCAAACAACTTGACCATGATCGGTCCCTTTCCATTGAGAAGTGAAAGCTTTTATGGACTTCTAATGTGACAACCGTCAAATTCTGGTCAATCCAAAGTCAAATAAAGTCAACAAGTCAAACCGGTCAGCTCAACTAACCCCTGTGTACTTGGACTTACGTTCAGTATTTACTAAACAACCCACTATTCTAATAAGAAAACATGAATCGAAAAGTACGTACAACTAGATCTCTTTATCCTAAAAACTGTAGTACGTGGCGAGCCAAACTGATAAAACAATGATGCATACTCATCGGGAGTGTGTAAGATCCTTAAACAAGGCTTAACAGGGTTTACGAACCATGCATTGCGATGCCGGACACTCACAACTGTCCCACATGGATCCTCTCTCAATCGTTTTCACTCTATCTCTCTCTATGTCAAATCTCTCCAAGTATGTGAAATCTCTCTCGAATATCTCTCTGTATGAGAAATCTCTCCAAGAATGTCAAATCTCTCCCAAATCTCTCCAAGTATGTGAAATCTCTCTCAAATATCTCTCTGTATGAGAAATCTCTCCAAGAATGTCAAATCTCTCCCAAATCTCTCCAAGTATGTGAAATCTCTCTCAAATATCTCTCTGTATGAGAAATCTCTCCAAGAATGTCAAATCTCTCCCAAATCTCTCCAAGTATGTGAAATCTCTCTCAAATATCTCTCTGTATGAGAAATCTCTCCAAGAATGTCAAATCTCTCCCAAATCCCTCTAAGTATGTGAAATCTCTCTCAAATATCTCTTTGTATGAGAAATCTCTCCAAGAATGTCAAATCTCTCCCAAATCTCTCCAAGTATGTGAAATCTCTCTCAAATATCTCTCTGTATGAGAAATCTCTCCAAGAATGTCAAAACTCTCCCAAATCTCTCCAAGTATGTGAAAACTCTCGCAAATATCTCTTTGTATGAGAAATCTCTCCAAGAATGTCAAATCTCTCCCAAATCTCTCCAAGTGTGAGAAATCTCTCCCAAATCTCTCTCAAAAGTTTTCCCGTAACTTTTTAGAATCATTCGGGTCATTCCGGCCCTTAACCGGGTCAAAAACGGCTTAAAACGGGGTAAAAACGAGAAAACGGGACCTTAGGAACCGAAACCCTTCTTAAGGAGCCGAAGCTCCTTAAGGCCGAGACCTAGGACCGAACAGAGCCTCTGTTGGCCGAAACAAGAGAACCGAATCACTATAGCAGAGACCGAGCCTCGGTCTCTGTTCGCTACTCGCTCTCTGTTCGCTACTCGCTCTCTGTTCGCTACTCGCTCTCTATTCGCGTCCCACTCCCTGTTCGCGTCCCACTCTCTGCTCCGCTTCTCACTCTCTGCTCCGCTTCTCACTCTCTGTCTCGCGCGCCTCTCTGTCCCCTCCCACCTCTCGGTTCCTTCCCTCCTTCTCCTCTCCTCTCGGTTCTGCCTCCCTCTCTCTCTCGGTTCAGCATCAGGAGGCCGAGCCTCGGCCAGAATTTCGCATATTTGCCACTTTTAGCCCATTTTTGATATTTTTAACATTTTAAGCCCGTTTTTCGTGATTTTAAAGCGGGATTTTCTCCAGAAATTATATTTTAACATAATAAATCCTAAATATTCATAATTTAAACATATTTTGATGAAAATCATTATTTGAATAATAAAAATCAAATTGGTGAATTATTAAAGGTGGAGTGTTGACTTTGCCTTATCCAAAGTCACAAGCAACCACCTCACACCCACTCTTTGACTAACCACACCTCTCCACCTTACCTAGGTCACATCAATGTCTTTTCCACTCAATTATCCCTCTTCCCACGTTTTTGAGGGCTGATTATTCATCCTCTCTCCTCACTTCTCTCATTTGCTCTCATTTCACAAGAAGATCAAACTCTTTCCTCTCTCACTTTCTCTCTCTAGAAATCCGAGATTCAAGGGCTGATCTTGAGTTTTCCTCCACATTTGGTAAGCATAATCCATTCTCTTTATGATTATCTCATTTATTTCCACTCAAATCATGGATATCTTAGGCGAACTCTCTCATAATTGTGTTAGATCTTCGAATCTTCAAGTGATTCTTCAAGTGTTCTTGGGTTGAACACTTATCTTCTTCAACACTTACCTACTGAAATCACTCAAGGTGAGTTCATACCCCTACATTTTCATGTTTTCTCAAGTTTTCAGGGGGGGAATACAAGTTAAAACACTAAGAACATAACTAAATTTTTCTAACAGCCTTCATCAGAAAAGTTCAACTCCATTCACGGACTGTTTTGGGCATCTTAAACATTTTTGTTTTCAAAACTGTACAAGGTGCAAATAGTTCAAGTTTTTAGATTTAAAATGGCTACTTTCACATCTCCATACGATTTCTCTACAATTTATGGTGATTTTTACAAAACTGCCTATCATTTCAAACAACAATCCGGACCAGTCTGTGATTATGGACTTTTTCACCCAAGTTAGAAGTCATTATAAATTGTGATAAAAATTATGAGCAAACTAGACACATTTTGTGAACTCTCAGAATTTACGGATCTAGTTTTCGACTTCGTATGATTTTTCTATGATTTTTCCAAAACAGGGCAGAATTGCTAAATTTTGCCAACAGCATGTAAATATCATAACACTTTGTATTATGTTGAGCAAAGTGTAAAATCATAAGTTCTAATATTTGAATGTGTTTCCTTGCTAGTTTATCATTATGAGCTGAAACTAAGACATTCATATTA